ATCACATCTTTTGATGTAATAATGTATTTGAAGTTTATAAAGTGCTTTCCTCACAATAAAACTATCAGCAAGTTGCAGGGAGAAAGAATACTGGATTAGAGTCAGAGGATCTGGGTTCAAATTCTGATTCTGCTACTCACCAGCTAAATGACCCCTGACAAGTCACTGAACCTTGCTTGGAGCCTTAGTTTCTTTATCTACAAAATGATGGAGGTAGGGCTAGATAGATGACCTCTGAGGTCATTTCTAGCTCTCAGTCTATGATTCCAGAAAGGTAAATAGGACCTGAACTATGCTGTATCTGTAATAATTTTACAGATTGAGAATCTAAGGCATAGAGAGATTAAGTGATTTGCTCACTCAATTAAGTGATTTGTTCTCAGTATCATTCAGGTTAAGTGTCAGAGCTAGGACTTGAATTCAGTTCTTCTGAAAGCTTAGAGACAATGTAAAAACAGCTCTCAGTCTCTGAAGCATCTTCTGAATTACAAATCATATTCCTTAGATCAGGAATGTAGCTTTTTTGGTGTGGATGGACCCCTTTGGCAATCTAATGAGACCCAAGGACTCCTCAGGATAATGGTTTTAAATGCATAAAATAAAATACATCAGATGGCAGAGGAAGTCAATTATACTGAAATACAGTTCTACCTCTGTGTCTCTTTCTCTCTTCCTGTCTCCGTCTTTCATCTCTCATCTCTCATGTCCCCCTCTCCCCCCCTCTTTCTCTCTCTCTCTCTCTCTCCACCCTCCATGGCCCCAGGTTAAGAACCTGGCCTTAGAGTAAAAACCATTTCAAAGAAGGGCTCTATGTGACAAAGCTTCTTCCCCACTCTGGCAAATAGACCTTGGGTTGATTTGTTTACAAGAAATTCTTTACAAAAAAATAGTTTTGTATAACAAATGTGCTCTCTGGTCTTAGTACAATAATTTGCACTGTAGCTGTGATCCAGAGGAAAGTAAATACTGGACCTCAATTGAATCAAGTTAAGATAATGAACATTAATTAAGACATTGTGCTAAGTGCTGGAGATGAGATTTAGGTTCAAATGTTAACTATAATGTTTCCTAGTTCTGTGACTCTGGGGACAATCACTGAGTTTCAATTTCCTCATCTATAAAATGTGAATATAACTGTTTTTACTACCAATCATACAGAGAGACTATGAGACCACACTGAGTAAAACTAAAGGTGCTATAGAAATGTGCTATTTTTATTATGTAATTTCATTTGTCCTGTCTGCATTATAGTGGAGGAGAACCCAGATGAATCTGAATTCTTCACAGTTTTTTTTTTGTTCCTTTGCCGGAGGCTCACTGTGGCATGGAACTTTTCTCTGAAAAGTGTCAGGTACAGGCCTAGCAATAGATTAAGCTGCTATCATCTGTGGACCATCCTAGCCAAGAGTGGAGGGTTCTTTTCCAGAAGGCTGGCCAACAGGTAATGAATTTTTTAGCCACAGTAACTCATGGAATGTGGACATGTTTCAGTCTGCTATTGTGGAAGAAATGCTTACATTGATGAAGGCATAGTTCTTTGAAAATATCAGAGAGTCACCCTACCTACCTCAAACATCCCAGTATCCTCACTGAAAAAAAAAGCCACCTTAACTCTGTAAGGGAAAACGAGAGCATACAGGTCTCCTATTGAGCTATAGGGGCAGCTGGTTGGCACAGTGGATAGAGCACTGGGCTTAGAATCAGGAAGACTCATGTTCATGATTTCAAATCTAGACTCAGACACTAGCCATGTGAACCTAGGCAAGTCTCTTAACACTGTTTGGTCTCAGTTTCCTCATCTGTAAAATGAGCTGGAGAAGGAAATGGCACACCAGTATCTTTGCCAAGAAAACCCCAAATGAGGTCATGAAGAGTCATGAAAAATGACTGCGTGACAACAGCTGCACATCATAGGTTCTCAATAAATATTTGTTGAATGAATGAATGAATCAGTGGGATGCTTTGCCTGGAAGGTTCAGTCCATTCGGAGGGTCATGGAATTTAGAACTTGAAAGGACGTTAGAGGAATCATAGAAGGCAACTAGGTGGCATTAGAACACTGGGTCTGGAGTTGAGAAGACCTGAGTTTACATCTGGTTACTGAGTCTGTGTGACTCTGTTTAAGTCCTTAACCTTAGTTACCTCACCTATAAAAAGAGGATAACAGTACCTAACTCCCAGTGTTGTTGTGAGGGTCAAATGAGATAATGTTTATAAAGTACTTAGCACAATACCTGGAACCACATAATAGATGTTGTTTAAATTTTATTCCCTTTCTCCTTACAGATCTAGAGTTGGAAGGAACCTCAGAGATCTTTGACTTTAATCTCATTTTACAAATGAGGAAGCTTAGGTCCACGGAAGATGTGACTTGCTCAAGGTCACAAAGTCATCCATGTGTATCAGGTTCTTTGACTCCAGAGCCAGTAATGTTTTCATTACATCTTGTCCAATCTCATTTTGTTATAAATAAAGTGGTGCCTACAGAGGTGAAATGACTTGTCCAAGGTTGGAATTTGAACCCAGGTTATGAATCATGGGTATCATAGTTTTAGAATTAGAAGGGACCATGGGGGTCACCTAGTTCAACCTCCTCAATGTACAGATAAGGAAACTGAGGCCACAGAGGTTAAGTGACTCCAGGTCCTCTGTCTCCAAATCCAGAACTCTTTCCACTGCACCATACTGCCTTATCAAGTGCGGTCATTCATGCTCATGAACTCAGATGTTGCATGTACCTTTAAATGCACATAGTTTACAATATTCTAGCTGATTTTCATAAATACTAGCAGGTTTTAAAATCTTTCCATTCTTATCTTGTATGACTTTTCTCCATGCAATTGATGTTTTAGCATAACTGGTCTTCTCACTATTCCCAGTACATGCCTCCCACTTTCCCATTTCTATACCTTTGCTCATGCTCATTTCTGTGTCTAGAATATCCTTTTCCCAGCTCTGCCTCCCTTCCCCCATTGAATACCTACCTATCCTTTAGTTCACTTCAAATGTCACCTATTCCATGAAGCTCTCTCTAATTCTGCCTGTTAGTAATGATGCTCTCGTATCTCATCTAACACTTTACTCACACCTTTCATTCCCTCATCAGGCAGTATTTTGTGTTCTGCTCATTTGGGTACATGTCATACCCTTCTAGTAGGCTATGGACTCTGTAAGGGTAGGGACTGACCCTTATCAAAATTTTCTGTCAACCCCACATGTACAGGTTTCAGAGAATTAGCCATAGGGAATCTCTTGGCTAATGTGACTTTGGAGTTGAAATGTTTTAAATACCTTCGGGTTTAAAGGGTAGCCAAGATGGTGTGTACATGATGAAAGGAGCACCCAGATGTGCTGAATAGCTTACCATAGCAAAACCTAGCCTCTCTCCCTCACAGGCATAGGACATCAGATCTAAAATCCTTTAGTTATTATCCTAGGTAAGCAGTAATGTTACTTGAGAGGATGATAAAAAAATTGTCATTTTAATTTGGCATCTTTTGATTATGCATTTGTGTGTGCATATGTGTGTGCCTATGTCTGTACATACATGTGGTGGGAAGGGCTCAATTTCAAGTTCACTTTAACCTATGACAGAAACTTCTACCCCTCTGTCTTAGAGAATTGCCCTTTTCACTTCATCCTTGAACCCTTTTGACCTCTAGCACTATAGTCCTGTATCTTCGATTTTCTCAACTCAGTCCCCTGGAGGATTTGCCTTCCAGGTTCTCTCTGTCCTCACCGACCCTGTAGCAGTGGTGGCCGGGATCCCTTCCTCATGCGCAAGGTCTGTCCATCAGTTCTCCTGGGACCCTGAGCTCCCACCCTGCCTCTCTGGCTGCCTCCCCAGGCGATCCCAGCCTCATCCTGCCTGTTCTTGCCCACACACATCCCTAACTGGTATTCTTTCGCAAACCTGTCTGCTGTCAGCTCAATCTGGGGAGTGGAATGGAGGGAGAGATCTGACTGAGGCTTATGGGCTCACAAATTCCGTGTGACCAAAGTTAGTTACACCCAAATGGATGACCAGGAGAGCTTCTGCCTTTCTCTCTGGAGTCTTTCCTTCATTCACACACACACACACACACACACACACACACACACACA